CACCTCCACCCACCCACCCACCCCCCACTGGGGCAGGGGACCCAGGTGTCTGGGCTTCCCCCAGCATGCACACACATCACTGGTACAAAGAATCCAGGTGCCCTGGAGGGATCCTGGTGTGCACGTGCACATTGCTGGTGCAAGGGACCCAGGTATCCGGGCTCCCTCCACATGCACACTTGCACCTGGCACAGAGAGCTGGGGCCGGGAGCTGGGCCTCGTGCGGCCTGGCCCGGGCTCGGGGCTCTGCTTTGATCCTGTGCCGTGTCCCCACCAGGGTGCTGCTGCGGGTGCGGATGTTGTACTACCTGCGCCAGGAGGTGATTGGGGACCAGGCCGGCAAGGTGCTGGCTGGGGGGGGGGGCGGGGCAAGGGCTGGAGGGGTGTCGGCTCCTCTTCTCCCCCCTCTCCTCAGGCATGGCACCTGCAGGGGAGGGAGGTGCCGGGGCAGAGGGTGTCTCTCTCCATGCCCCAGACACGGTGCCCATTGCGGGAGCTGCCAAGGGCTGGAGGGGTGTCGGCTCCTCTTCTCCCCCCTCTCCTCAGGCATGGCACCTGCAGGGGAGGGAGGTGCCGGGGCAGAGGGTGTCTCTCTCCATGCCCCAGACACGGTGCCCATTGCGGGAGCTGCCAAGGGCTGGAGGGGTGTCGGCTCCTCTTCTCCCCCCTCTCCTCAGGCATGGCACCTGCAGGGGAGGGAGGTGCCGGGGCAGAGGGTGTCTCTCTCCATGCCCCAGACACGGTGCCCATTGCGGGAGCTGCCAAGGGCTGGAGGGGTGTCGGCTCCTCTTCTCCCCCCTCTCCTCAGGCATGGCACCTGCAGGGGAGGGAGGTGCCGGGGCAGAGGGTGTCTCTCTCCATGCCCCAGACACGGTGCCCATTGCGGGAGCTGCCAAGGGCTGGAGGGGTGTCGGCTCCTCTTCTCCCCCCTCTCCTCAGGCATGGCACCTGCAGGGGAGGGAGGTGCCGGGGCAGAGGGTGTCTCTCTCCATGCCCCAGACACGGTGCCCATTGCGGGAGCTGCCAAGGGCTGGAGGGGTGTCGGCTCCTCTTCTCCCCCCTCTCCTCAGGCATGGCACCTGCAGGGGAGGGAGGTGCCGGGGCAGAGGGTGTCTCTCTCCATGCCCCAGACACGGTGCCCATTGCGGGAGCTGCCAAGGGCTGGAGGGGTGTCGGCTCCTCTTCTCCCCCCTCTCCTCAGGCATGGCACCTGCAGGGGAGGGAGGTGCCGGGGCAGAGGGTGTCTCTCTCCATGCCCCAGACACGGTGCCCATTGCGGGAGCTGCCAAGGGCTGGAGGGGTGTCGGCTCCTCTTCTCCCCCCTCTCCTCAGGCATGGCACCTGCAGGGGAGGGAGGTGCCGGGGCAGAGGGTGTCTCTCTCCATGCCCCAGACACGGTGCCCATTGCGGGAGCTGCCAAGGGCTGGAGGGGTGTCGGCTCCTCTTCTCCCCCCTCTCCTCAGGCATGGCACCTGCAGGGGAGGGAGGTGCCGGGGCAGAGGGTGTCTCTCTCCATGCCCCAGACACGGTGCCCATTGCGGGAGCTGCCAAGGGCTGGAGGGGTGTCGGCTCCTCTTCTCCCCCCTCTCCTCAGGCATGGCACCTGCAGGGGAGGGAGGTGCCGGGGCAGAGGGTGTCTCTCTCCATGCCCCAGACACGGTGCCCATTGCGGGAGCTGCCAAGGGCTGGAGGGGTGTCGGCTCCTCTTCTCCCCCCTCTCCTCAGGCATGGCACCTGCAGGGGAGGGAGGTGCCGGGGCAGAGGGTGTCTCTCTCCATGCCCCAGACACGGTGCCCATTGCGGGAGCTGCCAAGGGCTGGAGGGGTGTCGGCTCCTCTTCTCCCCCCTCTCCTCAGGCATGGCACCTGCAGGGGAGGGAGGTGCCGGGGCAGAGGGTGTCTCTCTCCATGCCCCAGACACGGTGCCCATTGCGGGAGCTGCCAAGGGCTGGAGGGGTGTCGGCTCCTCTTCTCCCCCCTCTCCTCAGGCATGGCACCTGCAGGGGAGGGAGGTGCCGGGGCAGAGGGTGTCTCTCTCCATGCCCCAGACACGGTGCCCATTGCGGGAGCTGCCAAGGGCTGGAGGGGTGTCGGCTCCTCTTCTCCCCCCTCTCCTCAGGCATGGCACCTGCAGGGGAGGGAGGTGCCGGGGCAGAGGGTGTCTCTCTCCATGCCCCAGACACGGTGCCCATTGCGGGAGCTGCCAAGGGCTGGAGGGGTGTCGGCTCCTCTTCTCCCCCCTCTCCTCAGGCATGGCACCTGCAGGGGAGGGAGGTGCCGGGGCAGAGGGTGTCTCTCTCCATGCCCCAGACACGGTGCCCATTGCGGGAGCTGCCAAGGGCTGGAGGGGTGTCGGCTCCTCTTCTCCCCCCTCTCCTCAGGCATGGCACCTGCAGGGGAGGGAGGTGCCGGGGCAGAGGGTGTCTCTCTCCATGCCCCAGACACGGTGCCCATTGCGGGAGCTGCCAAGGGCTGGAGGGGTGTCGGCTCCTCTTCTCCCCCCTCTCCTCAGGCATGGCACCTGCAGGGGAGGGAGGTGCCGGGGCAGAGGGTGTCTCTCTCCATGCCCCAGACACGGTGCCCATTGCGGGAGCTGCCAAGGGCTGGAGGGGTGTCGGCTCCTCTTCTCCCCCCTCTCCTCAGGCATGGCACCTGCAGGGGAGGGAGGTGCCGGGGCAGAGGGTGTCTCTCTCCATGCCCCAGACACGGTGCCCATTGCGGGAGCTGCCAAGGGCTGGAGGGGTGTCGGCTCCTCTTCTCCCCCCTCTCCTCAGGCATGGCACCTGCAGGGGAGGGAGGTGCCGGGGCAGAGGGTGTCTCTCTCCATGCCCCAGACACGGTGCCCATTGCGGGAGCTGCCAAGGGCTGGAGGGGTGTCGGCTCCTCTTCTCCCCCCTCTCCTCAGGCATGGCACCTGCAGGGGAGGGAGGTGCCGGGGCAGAGGGTGTCTCTCTCCATGCCCCAGACACGGTGCCCATTGCGGGAGCTGCCAAGGGCTGGAGGGGTGTCGGCTCCTCTTCTCCCCCCTCTCCTCAGGCATGGCACCTGCAGGGGAGGGAGGTGCCGGGGCAGAGGGTGTCTCTCTCCATGCCCCAGACACGGTGCCCATTGCGGGAGCTGCCAAGGGCTGGAGGGGTGTCGGCTCCTCTTCTCCCCCCTCTCCTCAGGCATGGCACCTGCAGGGGAGGGAGGTGCCGGGGCAGAGGGTGTCTCTCTCCATGCCCCAGACACGGTGCCCATTGCGGGAGCTGCCAAGGGCTGGAGGGGTGTCGGCTCCTCTTCTCCCCCCTCTCCTCAGGCATGGCACCTGCAGGGGAGGGAGGTGCCGGGGCAGAGGGTGTCTCTCTCCATGCCCCAGACACGGTGCCCATTGCGGGAGCTGCCAAGGGCTGGAGGGGTGTCGGCTCCTCTTCTCCCCCCTCTCCTCAGGCATGGCACCTGCAGGGGAGGGAGGTGCCGGGGCAGAGGGTGTCTCTCTCCATGCCCCAGACACGGTGCCCATTGCGGGAGCTGCCAAGGGCTGGAGGGGTGTCGGCTCCTCTTCTCCCCCCTCTCCTCAGGCATGGCACCTGCAGGGGAGGGAGGTGCCGGGGCAGAGGGTGTCTCTCTCCATGCCCCAGACACGGTGCCCATTGCGGGAGCTGCCAAGGGCTGGAGGGGTGTCGGCTCCTCTTCTCCCCCCTCTCCTCAGGCATGGCACCTGCAGGGGAGGGAGGTGCCGGGGCAGAGGGTGTCTCTCTCCATGCCCCAGACACGGTGCCCATTGCGGGAGCTGCCAAGGGCTGGAGGGGTGTCGGCTCCTCTTCTCCCTCCACTCCTCAGGCATGGCACCTGCAGGGGAGGGAGGTGCCGGGGCAGAGGGTGTCTCTCTCCATGCCCCAGACACGGTGCCCATTGCGGGAGCTGCCAAGGGCTGGAGGGGTGTCGGCTCCTCTTCTCCCCCCTCTCCTCAGGCATGGCACCTGCAGGGGAGGGAGGTGCCGGGGCGGAGGGTGTGTGGCTCCATGCCCCAGACACGGTGCCCATTGTGGGAGCTGCCCAGGGCTGGGGGTGTCG